TTTTAAATGGGATTTGGTAAATATTGCATTTAACACTGAAAACTTTTGTTAGAAAATTAAGGAAACTCAAAGCCTCGTACTTAAAACCAGTTTTCCCGATCGAAAAAGCCTTGGAAAAGTGGAAAATTCAAAAAAAAAACCTCTAAAAAGGACTCTCCAAAATCTACTTGATGAAACTGAATTTTTGTCACTTACCTCATTGAAAAAGTAGACATTTTTGACACAAAATGAAGGAAACTCAAAGTTTCGTACTTTAAACCAGTTTTTCCGGCTAAAAACGTTCTGGAAAAGCGGAAAATTCGAGAAAAAATACGAATTAATTTAAAATGGCCGACTGTTGTCCAAATCTGAAAAACCATTTTAAATGGGATTTTGCTAATTATGGCATTCAAAACTGGAATTTTTTGTTGGAAAATGATGAAAACCTAACGCCTCGTGCTTTCACTAGTTTTCCCGATTGAAAACGCTTTGAAAAAGTGGAAAATCTGAGGAAAAACTGGATAAAAACGTAAACACGTCACTGCAAAATAGCCGACTAAAAGCGACGTTGCCACATGACATCGATAACATTTTAAATAATTAAATTTAATTAAAACTGGTCAAATAAATAATTAATAACGATTATAAAACAATAAATTCCTTTGGAAACTTGTTTTCAATTGAATTTCAATGAAAATAACATATTACAAGGCCTACTTATCGAGTATAAATGAGTAAGACAAAGACAACAATAAAGTAGTACATACTATTGCAAAAACATCAAAAGCGATTATACATGAGTTTGACAAAGACAGAAACAATGTAGAACGTCATAATTCAATTAAAATCAAACACAAAGGAAATTATTTGATAAAGTAGTAGTAGTACCCACTTAAATTGATAACAAAAGTACCATTAAATTAAATTCCTTATATATCATTCATATTTGAGTACCGTGTACTACTGGACTGTTGCCTACTGGTCGGTTTTTTAATTTCAATCCGATTTTGATGAAATTAGGCTCTAATCAGGCTTGCCAGACGTCCCAGTTTAGGCGGGACAGTCCCGATTTTTAGAGATATTTCCGAACCGTCCCGATTCACGAATTGAATACCAAATGTCCCGATTTTTAAAAATGTGAGGAAATATATCTCGATTTCCCGCCGACAACACCCTTTTAGGTTGTGTTTCCTACCTATATTGTTTTATTTTCCTATCCGCTGTCTCGCTTTTTCAAAGTTAAAATCTGGCAACCCTGGAAGAGGCAAATGATATTAGTATCCGAAAAGATAGTATGAGTAGGGCGACATAAGGATATGAACTATGCATGGCACATAAAAACACTTAGAACTGTTTTTTTTACAAATCATCCTGTATCTCGGAAACTAATAGAAATTTGGCAACAACGAAAATATGTTTTAAATACCCTTTGAAAATGGCAGCTTTTTTCTAATTTAACCGCCCTCGTATCTCTTACCGTTTCTGATATACCAATGGTGGCCTATGGTATTTTGGACACCCTGTATATTGGCATTGCGACCTCTCCAAAAACTCAATGCGACCCCCTTAGGGGTCGTGACCCACCGGTTGGGAACCGCTGCTCTAGACCAAAGGTGAAGTCTTAAACTTCCAAATGCTGCTCGGAACAGTCCTATTAAAAAAAATGGAACACGTGTTGTAGGTTAATATTTCCACGACTACTCAGCGTGAGGTCGCAGATCAAAAGGGCAGATTCTTCATTTAGAATTTAGATTTCGGAAGAAAACTTTCATCTGTCAAACTTCTAATTTTGACATTGAAGAAAATTATAGAAAAGGACGTGTTCAGTTTCACCCCAAAAGTACGAACTGAGAATCGGTTGTGTAAAAAATGACTGGTGAATGTTGAAAAGTGCCTATAGAACAAGAATTATCAAAAGGTAGAACAGGTCTAAAGAAAATGCCTAGACAATACAGCTGTTCAATGACATGATGGAAATGAAAAGTCAAAGAGTACAAAAAAACAACAATTATTATCATAACCTCAGATTATTGATTGGATTTGAAAATAGAGATGGTGATGGTACTAACTCCTTTTCCTAAGATTCTAATCAATAACAGCGGGCCCTGCCGTACTGAATCAAACCTTCCTAGATCAATTAACCAAACTTGCAAATCTGAACCAAAAAAACTTCTAGTAGAAGGCAGCACTCAAGGCAACAAAATCTGGGCACAAAAAGGTTGTTTATTCATTTATTTCATTGTAGCTCTATATGGAATCATATCCAGTATGGCAAAACAAGGTAGCTTATTAGCCAAGAAATTGAAAACGTTACAAGACATGCACCAACTTTTGGCCTTGTTTATATTTTGATTGTGCTATTACTAAAAAAAAATCCTATATGTTGCACACTTAAGTAATGACACTGTAGATCCCGAGGTTTTTTTCCATTCTGACACACCAATATGTAAACGTAAAGCCAGCAGTCTCCTAGTAATTAAAAAAAAATCTGTAACTCAGTTAATAATTAATCAATTCTATTTTTTTCTTTGACTATTCAGGAGCACCTAAAAAGCACCTAATTCTGATACAAAAGAAAATTTTGGAAAAATATTTTTTACTATAGGGGACTACTAGCTTTCATAAACCTAGCAATCCCTTAGTTTTTTTTTGATTTTCTCAAAAATCAGAGAAGCGCCTAATTTTAATTAGAGGCCCTAATTAGCACCTAAAAAGCACCTAATTATTATATAGATCCTGAAGATTTTTTTCCATTCTAACACACCAACATGTAAACGTAAAGCCAGCAGTCCCCTAATAATTAAAAAAAATCTGTAACTCAGTTAAGTAATAATTAATCAATTCTATTTTTTCTTGGACTATTTAGGAGCACCCTCGGGAGCACCTAAGAAGCACCTAATTCTGATACAAAGAAAAAATGTTTTTTATTTACTATAGGGGACTGCTAGCTTTTATAAACCTAGCAGTCCCTTAGTTTTTTTTGATTTTTTCAGAATCTAAAGGAGCACCTAATTTTTAAATAGAGGCCCTAATTAATCAGCACCTAAAAAGTACCTAATTATCATATACAGGGTGCTACAAATTGGAGTGCATGCATGGGGATATCGGAAACCATAAGAGATACGAGGTTGATTAAATTATGGCAAAGTTGCGCAATTTTATAGATATTTGGAAAAAACCGAAATTTTGCAATATCATTTTTAATTTTTCCTGAGTCCATTTGAAGAGCAATTTCAAAAAAAATGTCACTTCATCATTGTCACTTTATTTCCTTCACAAGATGTTGCTACCAAATTTCAGATTCGACGTTTCGTCTTTGGGCGGCCATCATCAACTTTGTTTTTCTAAATACGGGCCTGGATTTTTTATTTCAGATTTTTAGAGCTTCTGATGTCCCAAAACCTATAACGTATCGCATTTATTCGAAAAATTGTTTTTATTACTTTTTAGCAATTTCCTACCAAAATTCTCTTTTCTGTCTCTCTCTAATACATTAAGTTCTTATGGAAAGTGCCAATAATATAAATTTTCCGAATAAGTGCAATATCCCATTGGTTTTGGATATCAGAAACTCTTAAAATTTGAAATAAAAAATCCAGACCCGTATTTAGAAAAACGAAGTTGATGATGGCGTCCCACAGATGAAATGTCGAATCTGAAATTTGGTAGCAACATCTTGTAAAGGGAAAAAAGTGACAATGATGAAGTGACATTTATTTTGAAATTGCTCTTCAAATAGACTCGGGAAAAAATAAAAATGATTTTGCAAAATTTCGGTTTTTTCCGAATATCTTCCGAAGTATTCGGAATTTTTCAAATTTCAAAACGGAATTTTATTGGTCATGAAATTGCGCAACTTTGCCATAATTTAACCAACCTCGTATCTCTTACGGTTTCTGATATCTCCATGCATACACTCCATTTGTAGCACCCTGTATAGGGATGTAAGCCAATTTTTCTGACAATGTCATGTCACAGTCAAAATGAAAATGACTGTCACGTCATTTATTTTTATGACACTCTTGTCATTTATGTTTTTATGGAATAAAGGAGCATTTACATTCACTTCTAACTTCAAGTTAAATTTGACATTTGATATTTTATCATTTTACATTGCAGAACAAAAATAAATGACCCTCATTTTACATCCCTAATTATATAGGTCCCGAAGTTTTTTTCTACCTTGGGACTGCTAGGTTTATAGACCTCATTCCCCTACAATCATAATATCCTTTGTCTCTTGAACACAATTGAAATTTGGAAATCAGCATCTTTAGAGATATTTTTTGATTTTTGTGTGTAAAAAAGAGTATCTAAAATACATATTATTTTTGAGTTTCTTTACCATAGATGAAAAATCTACTCAAACGGTCTAACAACATTGATTTTTAGAATTTACTGTATACCTTTTTAGACTGAATCAAAGTCTCTAGTGACTCTGGAATGTTTAAGAAAATCAAAACACCAGAATTTAGTTTTCAAAGATGAAATATATGAGTTTCTTCTCCGTATCCTAGACACTATTTTGATATAAACAGGTTCATATGCCAATAATAGTGGTAGGATGTTTGTTTACAATATTGCAAATCCGATAATATTTTGGCACCCACAAAATGATTCCATAGGCTAAAATTAGATCTAAGAGGCTTGTTTTTTACTAAAAAGCTATAAATCTTCAATATTTTGTTATAATTTGGCCTCAATTAGGGGATGATAGACAAGAATTTCAAAAACATTCTCTTTCAGCTTAAGCCCAAAAGAGAAAGTTACACGTAATTTTTCAAAATAATTAGGTATCTTGAGGCTTTCTTATTAGTTATTTCCTTAGATTATTCCAATTGCCTTGTATGTAGGTGACATTAGGGCATATCGAGGGGCATATATTTGTACTTAACCCTTTCCAGGGATGGAACAAGGAGCAACACAGAATTATTTGCAATTTCCGGGTTAAAAATACTATAATACAATTTTCACCAAATAAGTTGCAGGATAAGATAAACAGCCTAAAACCAAACACTTACCTCACTAGCCCAAATAAATATTAGTAAAAGGCACCCATAAAAGTGTAACCTTGACGCAGTAGTCCTTGTTTCAACATCCTTCATTGTGTTTTCAAAAACTTAAAAAACTAGAAATAAATAAATATCACAAATTCTTTGTTTGGTATTCTCTGAGGCACTAGTTATGCATTTTCCGCGACGCGATCAGCACGAGGAAACCATCGTTTTTTCCCTTTCGTAGTTGTTGTTCTTCTTATGACTGACTCTGACAGGAAAAATTAAATCACCTTTTGGGTCTTGGGAGGAAAATAAAAATAATTCAAACCAAAAAGCGCATGCCTAAATTGTCAACACTGTATTGCGACGTTGCCAAAGCTATTTAATATCTATGATTACAGATTTCTTCTTTTATTTTGTTTGTCAAAAAAAAATATACAGAAATTGCTACAGCGCCATCTCTATTATAAAAACTGCAATGATATATATAGATTTCTACTATTTATGTATAAATTTGAGCCAAACTTTGGAAAAATTTTGGCACTGTGATTTATGTCCTTGTGAGTCACATATGATTCATTGGCTGATTTTATATGTGCCTTCATGAGACATCAGAGAAAAAATCTTCATGTGTCTACTATTACAGATTTCTGCTTTTGATGCATTAGCCGAGGCTGCTTATAGTGGTGACGTCACTCGCAGGCCCTGCCAACTCGAGAATTGGTGAACGTCCGCCTTATGAGCCTTATGAGGAGCAATCCTGTTAGTTTACGAACGAATTCTTGGGAAAATATAAGGATTTAAGAGTTTGTTGTAGACAAGAATTGAGACAATAAGAAAATGAGAACAGATTTTTTTTTTCCTATTCCAGGTTCTTGAGTTTTCTCAGTTTTCTCACTCCAGTCTCTCTTTCAACTCTAAAACATCAGATTTTGATCTTTTTAAATAGGAATACAGCTTACAGGCACATCTTTTCAAATTTCTGCTTAAAAGAGCACACATTCTGAATTTTTTAATCTTCTCTACGTTCTCTAGTTAAGTTTTCGCTGTACGATAGTCAAAAATAAGATTTAAAAAATCAGTCCAGCCCAAATTCTATTCTAAACCCCATCTATAAATTTAATTTTATCTCTAGTAGAAGCGGGAATAGAGTTCACAATCACCTCTTTCCAAGTTTCAGCTCTACAAATTTTTCAACCTACTCTACACCCCTACTCTGCACCTTGTTGCCACAATTTAAGGTTTTTCTGGAAAACTGCTGATGGGAAAATGTTGAAACTTACAGGGTGAAAGGAGGCGGATTAGAAGCTGATTAGATTAAGCTAAAATTTCAATTCAATTCAGTAACAAGAAAAATTCTTGAAAATTAAATTTTAAAAACTAAATAAAATGAAAATGCACCTTGACACAGTTTAAGGTTTGTCTGGGAAACTGCTGATAGAAAAATGTTGAAATTTACAGGGTGGAAAGAGGATGATTAGGTGCTGATTTAGCTAAAATTTCAATTCAATCTAGTGAGAACCAGTTACGAGGAAAATCCTTCAACTTTTAGTTTTAAAAACTGAATAAGATGAGAATGCACCTTGTCACAGTTTAAGTTTTGTCTGGAAACCTGCTGAAAGGAAAATGTTGAAACTAACAGGGTGAAAATATTAGATTAGGAGACCATTCATTGAAAATTTTATTGTATTCACAGTGCAAAATTTCTTTCAGTATTTCCTTTATTACGCCATTAAGTCTTTTCTCAGATAAATGAAAATTTGGAAGCAGAGCCAGATGATCTTTGATCCATGGCATGTTAACCTTGTATCTTCCATAAGATCTTTTTTTGCTGTCGATAAAAAGTATTCCTTGACTATATTTTCTCTTACTTTTGCTTCTTTGCACTCCCGAATCCCAAGTAGGTATGTATTATAAGTTGATCCAAAGTATCAACACCCCCTTTTGTAGAGTTGTAATCAAGAATAATTTGTTTTTTGGTTTACTACAACCGGGGTACAATTATGTACCCTTTCTCAATTATGGTAAATAAATATTAAATAAATTGAACAACATTACCTACAAATCTGCATACACGTGTAGGTATATTGCAGAAATATATAAACAGCTATTATAAATGGCGTTTCGCTAACCTATCAAATCCACAAAATATGACAAAAATTCGAAATGTGGGTCCAAAATGTACCCAGGTTGTAGATAGAAGGGATAACGAATGTCTTAATTCACTTGAAACCACGTTGTTCAGCTGACACCCAACACCAAATCATAATTCAACCATTTTTCGCCGGTATTCGGTAGTGCCCCACTGCTACACTTATCTTAAATCAAGGGGTAAACCGCCATCCGAGAATTTGTGCAAACAGTTCCTCAAAGGGGAATTTTTTACGCATAATTCCTCAAAATTCCTACAAATTCCTCCAAATTCCCCACAAATTCCTCTAGATAGCCCATCACAAATTCCTCCAAATACCCCACCACGAACTTCTTCAAATACCCCACACAGCAACATGAAAAATCTTGAAAATCAACCTACAAAAAACTGAATTAAGTAGTTGAAAATACAGTCTCAGACATTTCAAAGTTTTCCTGGAAAACTAGTGAAGGGAAAATTTTGAAACTTTTTGCATGTAAAAAAGAAGGTGAGAAACTCATTTTCCCATAATTTCAAATTTTTCTAGTGGGAAATAACAACATGAAAAATCTTGGAAATTAACTTACAAAAACTGAATTAATTGAAAATACAGTCTCACATATTTCAAAGTTTTCCTGGAAAACTAGTAAAGGGAAAATTTTGAAACTATTCGCATGTAAAGAGGAAGGTGCGCAACTCATTTTCTCAAAATTTCAAATTTTTCTAGTGGAAAACAGAAACACGAAAAATCTTGGAAATCAACCTACAAAAACTAAATTAGTTGAAAATGCAGTCTCATACATTTCAAAGTTTTCCTGGAAAACTAGTGAAGGAAAAATTTTGAAACTTTTTGCATGTGAAGAGAAAGGTGAGAAGCTCATTTTTCCAAAATTTCAAATTTTTCCAGTGGAAAACAGCAACATAAAAAATCTTGGAAATCAACCTACAAAAACTGAATTAGTTGAAAATCGAGTTGAAAATACAGTCTAAGACATTTCAAAGTTTTCTTGGAAAACTAGTGAAGGGAAATTTTTGAAACTTTTTGCGTGTAAAGAAGAAGGTGAAAAACTCATTTTTCCATAATTTAAATTTTTCCAGTGGGAAATAACATGAAAAATCTTGGAAATCAACTTACAAAAACTGAATTAATTGAAAATACAGTCTCACACATTTCAAAGTTTTCCTGGAAAACTAGTGAAGGGAAAATGTTGAAACTTTTTTGATGTAAAGAGGAAGGTGAGAAGCTTATTTTCCCAAAATTTCAAAGTTTTCCAGTAGAAAATTACAGCATGAGGAATCTTGGAAATCAATCTACAATAACTGAATTAATTGAAAATACAGTCTCACATATTTCAAAGTTTTTCTGGAAAACTAGTGAAGGGAAAATTTTGAAACTTTTTGCATGTAAAAAAGAAGGTGAGAAACTCATTTTCTCAAAATTTCAAATTTTTCTAGTGGAAAACAGCAACATAAAAAATCTTGGAAATCAACCTACAAAAACTGAATTAGTTGAAAATCGAGTTGAAAATACAGTCTCAGACATTTCAAAGTTTCCTTGGAAAACTAGTGAAGGGAAAATTTTGAAACTTTTTGCGTGTAAAGAAGAAGGTGAAAAACTCATTTTTCCATAATTTAAATTTTTCCAGTGGGAAATAACAACATGAAAAATCTTGGAAATCAACTTAGAAAAACTGAATTAATTGAAAATACAGTCTCACACATTTCAAAGTTTTCCTGGAAAACTAGTGAAGGGAAAATTTTGAAACTTTTTTGATGTAAAGAGGAAGGTGAGAAGCTTATTTTCCCAAATATCAAATTTTTCCAGTAGAAAATTACAGCATGAGGAATCTTGGAAATCAATCTACAATAACTGAATTAATTGAAAATACAGTCTCACATATTTCAAAGTTTTCCTGGAAAACTAGTGAAGGGAAAATTTTAAAACTTTTTGCATGTAAAGAGGAAGGTGAGAAGCTCATTTTCCTAAAATTTCAAATTTTTCCAGTGGAAAACAGCAACATGAAAAATCTTGGAAAGCAACCTACAAAAACTGAATTAGTTGAAAATACAGTCTCACACATTTCAAAGTTTTCCTGGAAAACTGGTGAGGGGAAAATCTTGAAACTTTTTACATGTAAAGAGGAAGGTGAGAAGCTCATTTTTTCAAAATTTCAAATTTTTCCAGTGGAAAACAGCAACATGAAAAATCTTGGAAATCAACCTACAAAAACTGAATTAGTTGAAAATACCTCGGAAAATACAATCTCACACATTTCAAAGTGTTTCTGGAAAACTAGTGAAGGGAGAAATTTGAAACTTTTTGCATGTAAAGAGGAGGGTTAGAAGCTCATTTTCCCAGTATTTCAAATTTTTCCAGTAGAAAATTACAACATGAGGAATCTTGGAAATCAACCTACAATAACTGAATTAATCGAAAAACCCGTCTCACATATTTCAAAGTTTTCCTGGAAAACTAGTGAAGGAAGAAATTTGAAACTTTTTGGATGTAAAGAGGAAGGTGAGAAGCTCATATTTTCCCAAAATTTCAAATTTTTCCAGTGGAAAATAACAATATGAAAAATCTTGGAAATCAGCCTACAAAAACTATATTCTTATTCTTTTGAATTTTAAAATTTGGACCTGTAAATCATGAAGTGAAATTTTGGGAGAATTTGTTTAATAAAAATGAATATCCAACATCCAACACAAAACTAGATTTTTTTTTTTAAATTTCCATTTGTTACTATTTCTTATATTAAGAATGTGAATCAGTAACGTCATAACCCCATAACCGAGGTCATAACCCTACAATTTCTTTTAAATTCCTCATACATTTCTCACAAATTCTTCCAAATTCCCCATAAATTCCTCTAAATTCCCTATAAATTCCCCAAATTTTCATAAATTCCGATGAGTTCCTTCAAATTCTCCACAAATTCCTCTAAATTTCCCACAAATTCTTTTAAATTCCCCACATTTTTGGCAAAGAATTCCTAGATGGTTTGTCCCTTGCCTTAAATAGTATAATCGTGCAACAAATGGGATCCTAACCTATTATGGTGGACGACTTCCCCAGGGGAACCAATTATAAAAAGAAATAATCAAACCATGATTTGTTGCCCTGG